AACGTTTACGTTCTCTCTCAAGGGTATCTAACTGTGGTAACCAAATGGGCAGATAGAAATGGATGAGCCATAAATTCAAATAAATCGGACACTTTTGGCGAGCATAGCCAAATGGCTGGGCTCAACAAAGCACTTCCTTGATCCATGAGGATCTCAGGATTCCCTTTTTGGGAGCTTATGGGCAACATAAAAGACCAACGTTTACAGATGTCCAAGTGAGATCCATTGATTAAGATCAAATCTACGACCTAACCTAACCCAACCTTTCGAAGAAAATCCATATCTTTTGCTAAACTTTATGCCATTACTACTCGAAGCTTTAAGCTTTCATTCAGCTTTTAGTGTGCCCCTAAGCATCCACCTGATCGAGCACAAAATAAAACTAATTTCGCACAATCACCGTTTAAACCCATCCATTCACCATGCGCGCCATTAACTCGTTTATTTAACAACCAACACAGACTATAAATAGCAATATGTCACCCAATGCTAGTCTAGCTAATCCAGTTCTACACCGGCATACAATGTATCGGTATTTCTCATCAATATTCATTAAACGGAAAAGTCTGTTTGCTTTAGCCTTGTCAATCTTAATGGTAGATTAACTTTCTTACGACGCAGACAATGTTGACGATTGCAATGTTTATTGCATTATATGCTGATAATGATGTGCGACGACGGCGCAGGCGCAGACATAGACATGATCGACGCAGGAGTGCATACACGAATATCATTAGAAGCATAGGTAAATAGCAATAAAAAAGGCATGCGCAAAACGAAGCGCGTGCAGCAATGACAGACAGTAACAAAAACAGCAATGCTATGTTGACAGTCTATGACTATCAAGACCATAAAAATGCGCAAAACTATGCAACAACAATAAAAACGGGCAAGTTGTAGTGGGAATTATGGTAAAAGCGCGCACTTATATGTATATATGTATGTGTATAAGTATCTATGTATATAAGTATGACTATGTATATGACGCGTTTTGTGGCAGCTAAAGCGCGCTTGTGGAGTTTATGGCTGTGAACTAATGAAAATATGGCGACAATTAAAAATCAATTTACGTGCAATGCGCAAGTGCGCACGCGCAGGCACAAACGACAAATAATAACTGCGCGCTTGTAACACAAGAGTGGCAAGTAGCAAGTGGCAGCATGGAGTGGACATGATTGGCGCGGTACGTTGCCAGTGAGACACATGTAATACGCGCTATGTAAGTTGCGTGCTGTTGGCCAATTCAATCAACGCTGGCGACCACCCGAGACTACATTTGCAGTCGACATAGCTGGGCGTAATGGCTGTCCAAGGCTCACTTATTATTTTTGTATTTGAAGCGCTTAGCCGTTTTCACTGCTGGTTGGTTGGTGTCTTCGCTGGTTGGCCGCGGATGTGCGCAGATTGACATGTGCCCCCAATACCGTTTTTGCTGCAGTTCATACGCGTTACATACATACGAGTACATATGTGCATAAATCCTTGTGCCTCTTCATCCGTTTCTGCTTACTATAACCGCCCCTCCGCTGTCTGTCGGCCGCTTCATTCGTTGCATGCGCTGACGCGATTAAAGTCTAAATCGCACTGGAAAAATGATATGCGCTGACGTCTAAAGTGAAATCCCATGTCACGTGTCAAATGGCGCAAGAAGCAAGGAAAAAATATTAAAGCGTGCAGGCGCATGCGCTGAACGACTGACAGCTGACTGCTGAGGCGACGTGCATGCACTCTGCAAGCGGCTAAACAATCAATACGAGTAGTTTATTTTATTTGTTGCGGTTTATTTAACAAACTGTGCGAATAAGTAAAATACAGTTAAAGGAAGATGAAGAGGAAGAAAATAAGCGTAAATATAAAAAGTTCTTCGCAAGTGGCAGCAATAAATCGCCACACGTCGCTAGCGCAGTTGTAGCGTAAGCCGAAATTTGAAAAATACTATAAATTTAACAAGTAAGGCAGTGCTAGGCTCGAACGGCACTTCACAATTAAATCGAGTTCAAATTTTGCTACAGACATATATTGTCCGTTGTAGTTTACGAGTATTTTTCGCTAATGGCATATCAGCACTGAAAAACTAAATTTTATGCATTTTTGAAAATTACCGTTACATGAAATGTGAACTTAGAGGTGTTCAGTTAGGTAATATGCCGAATTTATATAAGTTAATGTAATGTATGGACGCTCATACCATTGGCAGTGCTTCTTTTTGATCATCATACTACAGCAATCCCATCTTTAGATGTTTTATGAGCTTAAAATATGTAAATTTACGATTCAAGAGCACTACACTAATTGACTCTTTCGATTTCACAGTTGTGCTCTACTATTAAATTCCTAAGCCAGGTATTGCGCTTGGGTATAAAAATTTACAAATTTGAATTGTAAAAGCACTTAAGTATTTTTGTAGGCATGTTCTTCAACCGAGAACCACTTCTGACCTAATTTCCTGAGTTGTGAAACTAAAGAACAGCTAAAAGAGAGCAAAAAACAACACAAACTATCAACTCGCGCTCAAGTTACACCCAGCATAGTAGCTTTAACGTTGTGCGAAATAAAAAAAAGAAAAACTTTACGAAGTCTGATCAGCCGCGCCTCGGCTTACTTTTGTCAATTTTATTGCGCCTTACACTTTTTGGCATTTGGTTGGGTCTGTCAGTGTTGTCGACGCTCGCATCCAAACCTTAACATTAAATAATAAATAAACTAAATGGTAGTTACGATTAAAAACTGCGCATCGTTGATATTTGAATACGCTTCTGTTTTGTTGTTGTAAATGTCATTTGATATTCATGCTTTGGTGACTTAAATTTTATGTAAGCCGCTTGTAAGCGCCTTAAATGTCGTGATGTTGGCTTAGAGGAAAAGTGTTTTTGTTCTTTGACGGCGTGTTCGGGTGAGTAAATTGGCGTGTGGTTGCCACTTCGTAATTATTGTTGGCTGAAGTTGAAGTAATTGTAGAAACACTACAATACTATAAATTTAAGACTCCAGCTAACTGATACTTTATCTGTAAAGTGACCACCTAAGTTCGAAAAGAATTTCTAAAGCTTTCAGATTATTGGCTTTTAGACCACTTCAGCTGGCTGCTTTTTTATATAATATATACCGAAAGCCACAAATCAAATCTTCAAAAACTCGTTTTAAGTTCGAGCCACAATGCAGAACGATAAACCAGTTTTGGTTAAAGAGTTATATCCACATGTGAATTCCGAAAATTCGAATTTTTAGTTAATATGTCGACTGTACAATATATATATATATATTTCCAACATTTCTCCGAAAAATTTAAATAGATTCAGCAAATTAATTTAAAGTTATCAGTACATTTGTAAGAATTTTTTAACCAAGTGTAATCGTGTTCTAAAACGTTTTACTTGAAACACTGTTTTCATAGACAGTAAGGAACGTTTCCCGAAACACTCTGGCTGAACAGCTCGACTTCAAATTTTCACAAGACCTATTAGATTTGCCAAGCAATAATCGAAGGAATCAGATTTTTGAAAATTTTTTCGAATTTTAAGCCAAATTTTGATAAGTCCTTTGACCATTACCTGTATTGATCTATTGTAATAATACTTTTTTTTGGTTATTGGATTTGAGATAATTTTTAGCAGAAAATTGTTCCTTGATGCCAGCCAACTTTTTTATTATTTCTATATATTTTTTTTAAATAATATGCCTCTTCAAATAAATATTTACTAAAACGCGCGTTTTTTTACATGCAAGTGGATATAACCGCTTAAGACTCACACAGAACTATTTATTTGCAGAACATGGCAACCTTAACTCAAACTTGTGCTCTTTAGGTTATGTCATTCACAATTCACTGATCAGGTGTATAAAATATTTGAGTCTCGGAGTCTCAGGTTACGCCTTTGGCATTAAAATATCAATTTGACATTTAACAAAAACAAATATATATGTTATATACATATATGTATGAATATAAATGTATGTGAAAACTAATATTTGAAGTATTAAATGATAAACCACAGAAAAATACGAGGAGCAAACGTTGGTTTGACATGAGCAAGACAAGCTTATGACGAACTTTATTGAAGAGTTTTTATACATATAAAAAGGATGAGGGATCTAAAATGCGCCAAGAAACCATTCAAGTGTACGGTAGAGTTAAAGTTAAGTAAGAAGTAAGTGAAAATCAAGCAAAAATACGGTAACACGAAGAAAGTTGAGTTACGAGAAATAACAAATATTTATTGGGAATAGACTGACAATAATCATAAACGAGGGGAAACAGCAGAAAACACACAATTCCAGTGCCAATCAAGTGGCAGTGAAAAGTGAAAAATACAAGTAAACACATACATACTAATGCTTTTATATAAGCTCACCAAGTGAAGTGCGCGCCGATCGACAATTGTAGGGAAGATCAAAGATCGATTGTGCGATCGAACTGCCGATCAAGCTATTGTATGAGTAATCGAAGAGTTTGCAATGCAAGACGCTTGCGATGGCAAACCATACAAAGAAAAACAACAAAAAATACACATGTGATTGACTGACTGACTGGCTGAATAGTCGGCAATCACGTGCAAAGAAATGCAAATAACAATGGATTGAGTTGCCCGCAGGCATTAGACAGGGAGCGCGCGCATACTCCAACTAGCCGCAAGACTCACACTGCAATGCGCTCGATTCACACTCAGCATCGCAGTCAATAAAACAGTCACTTGGCAGACGGAACACTCGAGCCAAGCGGCTGACTGACCGACCAGTCGATGGTTACTAACCTATACTTCAATTATTTTGTCGGTACTCGATCACAAACCAAATGAGGTAAACACTTAACACCAGCGCGGTATCAACATTTGAAGCGTACACTCCAAAAGCTATGACGGCATGAAGAGGTTAGAAGCTGGTCTTGGTTAGTGTTGAGTAGTACAAGTACATAAATACTTGTAGTTTGGTTTTCTCAATGATGATATTAATTCATATGTGCATACTATATGTTTGTCTGATTGTATGATTATGGCACTTACCTGCATGTAACGCGCCAGCGCGGCGGCATTTGTGCGTTGCTGTTGCTGCTGTTGTAGTTGCAGCAACTGTTGTTGTTTCTGTTGATGCTGCTGTTGCACTTGTGATCTCAGCTGTGGCTGCGGTGAGCCCAATGGGCTAACAATTGTTGATGTCGAACCACCGATGCCCGTGTCATAGCCTTGAGCATTGCTGTTGCAGTCAACATCTGTGCGGAATAATAAAAATAATTGTGGTTAATTAAAAAGAACACAATAAAAATTATATCATCAAAATTAGATAAAAGCAATAAATCTGCATGTGAGAATAATGCACAGCAATTTGTTGAGGTTTGTATTTTAGAAGAATTCAAAAGGTATTGAATGACCAGAATTAAAAGGCTCGTAAGAACACTAAGCAGTTAGTGGGTTCGATGCATGTTCTGACTAACATTGGAAATAAATTTATTGTATTTCTATACAGAAAAAAGATCCGAATAAAAAACTCTTCGTCATTTCAGTTAAGCTTAAAACTTGTCTAACCATTTGACGCAGAATAACAAAGCTCACACCGCAAGTTGATTTAGAAGCACAACCCATCGTTCTACTGAGAGCTCTGAAGATAATTCTTTCATAGCAAAGATAAACCTCCGGTCCTATTTTAGGAATCTAAAAGCTTCCAAAAAGCTTTCAATAAAAACAAAAAAAGCAACAAAGTTCGCACTGCAACCTGTTATAAAAGCTCAAGGCATCTTCCTACTAAAAGCTTTAAAGACCAGCTGGTGCTAATCTTATTGCTGGCTACTGTTTAATTAACATTACTGATATGAGGTTGACCGTGATCGACGGTGAAACCTTATAAACAAACCAAAAAGTTGTTTCCAGTAACGGTTGCAGCTTGACAGTCATTATAAAATATTGTATATAGTTTAAAGTATATAAATATGCCGTAAAACCTAAAAATATGCATAATTTATTCTTAAGAGAGCTATAAAAACCCTTATATTAATCCGATCACAATTTCTTGACTTTTTCAAATTTGTATTGTTTCGTTGCCAACCGAATTGAATGGTAAGTAATCAGTTGCTGCCATCAACTGAATGGAGGTCCTGAATATGATTTATTGCGACAAGTTCGAACCATAAAGTATTAATGTTTGAGTAAGTTTGAGACGATATACAAAGTGATGGTTAACGGTATGGTAGGACTCTTTGTACACAGAGTTTTCCATACATAGACATACTGGTGACGCGACGTGGGTTTATGAATATGGCGTCGTAAAAGTCCAACAATTTAGTCAATGGCGCTCCAAAAATGAGCTTTACTTAGCTAAAGAAAGTAAAGGCCATCCCACCTGAGGCTTATAACAAGTGTATGGAAAATTGGATAAAACGTTGACATACTTGTATTGGCTCAGATGCCTATTTTGAAGAGAATAATTAAGATTTGTATTAAAATATGCGCAACTGTACTTCTTTTGGTCCGGGTCAATTCTGATCAGATGTTATTTTATAAAAGTTTAGTTGCCACAGATGTTTTCAAATCCATTCGTAGTTTTTTCACTTTCTTTTTTTAACATAATTCCATTTACTTAACCCTCCATCAATATTCGCAGCGAAGCCTCAAACCGCGACTTGACTTCTAGTTAAGAATAAAAAATGTAACCGCAGACATTGTTTGGCAAATGTTAAACAAATAACTGGCAACAAGAATGGCAATAAAAATGCGCTGTGAGAAAACAAAAATGGAAAGAAAAATAGACGCAACAATGCCAACTGATAAATTGCGGCGTGTTTATGCAAATTTACGACATGCAAATACAATAAAAAATATCTACCTAACATCAGTTAATGGCTGACTCCCTCTTGGTAGAAATAAAGCGCAAAAAAATTAAATAAAATAGCGAAAAAACAAAAAATTTTGCATACTCCAAGAATGATTGTTGTTGCTGTTAGTGGGGCTGCTGCAACTGTGAAACGATCGTAAAGTGAAGGAGATCGATTTCAAATTGCCGCAACACAGCACGCAGCTGCAACAATTTGCACTACAGGCGGCGGGTGAGCACCAGCACACAAACACACAAATACATAGACAATAGACAAGATGGCAAATGAAGTGGAAATAAAAGAAAAAGCACTAAAGTAAATGCCCAACAGCGAGTAACAAACCAAACGATCAATTGTGCAAACGATCTGCAATTCAAACGATCGGCAGTCAGTTACATGTAAAAGCATATATACATACAAACAAACACACTTTGCGCACTTTTTTGCGAAGATTTTTGTTTATTTTAGCCGCGCTCCACTATAGCTGTAATGTAGAATTTGCAACTGCAGAAGCTGTCTATAGTCAAAGTTGGCGTGGATGAATGACTAAGTGACGGAGTGACTTGAGTGTGATCGCCTCGAGTTTAAAGCGCTGCTCTTAACCTCTTTTTAAACAGCTTGTTGGCCACTTATATACACAGCATTTAAATAGTGGCATTACCCCACTTCGACTTCCCGCCATATAAATGTTTACAGGCGTGCATACAAATAATTTTACAATTTGCAAGCTTAAGATTTCCTCAGAGCAATCGAACAACTACAAACTAATATAAAAATGAGACAAAAAAATGTTAACTGCGGCTGCATCAAAGCTATAATACCCTTCACAGTTGCATTTTTCACAGCGTAGAAGGGTATAAAAAGATCTTTATCTCGATTTTGATTAGGCACTTTTGATCGCAGATATAGATATACAGTTGTCCGATCTCAACAATTTGTTCGGAGAGTGTAGCGCTGCGTTGGATAATAATCGTGAAGATATTTTTACAAATAAAGACATAACATGACTAAATCGACTCAATTCGTCAAACTGATCATTTATATATATACTTTATAGGGTCTTCATAGTTTCCGTCTGCGTGTTAAAAACTTGGTGGCAAAATTAATATACCCTGTTCAGGGTATAAATGTAAATATAGCAGCCGGCAATTTATATTTTTTACCTAGTGCCCTCAGCTTCTAACAAGCTTTGCAAAACCGCAGCAAAAATCGATCTTTAATGACACTAAACGTTCACGAATTCTACTCTACTAATCACTGACTATTGTAATGAACCATTGCGCTGATTGGTAGGTAAACTGTTTGTTGTTCTTATTGTTGATTTGTAGTAATTTTTTGAGCTTAATACGCGTAATACGCCTTAAGAGCAAGCTACGAGCTTTGTTTGTTAAGACAGTGGCATTAAAAGTCTCCGCAGGGTAGCTTAATATGCAACACTGCTGCTGTCAAATTCGTTTTGACAGTAGTCTACTGTCACTTAAGACGTAAGCTGCATGAATTAAAGTGCTTAGCAACATTGGCAGCATTGAAAACTGGTAACTCCAAAATTTTTTATATAAGTTTAAGATAGCAAACTTTTCGTTTGTAAAAATCAAAACTGAACATGAAGGAAGAGTCGATGGTATACCAATACTTTTCTTTTTGGAATACTAAACTTATTTCGGATCATTTCTTGTGTCTAAATCAATAAAAATTAACGTAGAAAGTGTTTAAAAAATCGTTCTACTTTTAATTGGCATATTGACCCATAGTAAGACAACAGGTGATCAGAGGAATTCAATTTATGATGTCGCGTTACTCATACTCCTTCATTGGTTATAGTTTGACAAGCAAATTATTTGTGAACTTATTTTTATGTGATTGTGAAACTGCATAAAATCACCGATCATTCTCAAGACCTTAGATACCAAAACTATGCTCAAACTAGTGAACTTTTAAGCTCGAAAGTGCATCCGATGTGGAATATGGTTTAAATGTTAGAGGCGGTGTTTAGGTTATGTGTCTAATAACCGCATAGTTTGGAGAACTCTAAAAAATTATATACATTTTATGCCATAAAAAATTTCGTACTAATCGAACAAACATCGTATGTTTATTGAATTGCATAATCCAGCGCAATAATTATTACGCTTTATTAGAATACAAATTACTATAAACTTCAGCTTATTGCACAACAGATTTGATTTTGTGGGTGCGGGCAAAGCTATGATATTTTGAATGGCTTTTCTAATTTTTTTAGTCGGAATGTCGTGATTAATTAAAGAAACAAGTGTATAAAATAGGTTGAATAGTTTAATTGCAAAAAAATTTTACAAAAGACCAATTAGATTAGATTGAGATACACGATTAGATGTTCTGAATTCCGAGTTGATTTATGAATTGACAGAAAAGAGATTGAAAGAGAAGAGATAAATACATGCGCTATAAATGGAAAAGAGCACCTTCCAATGGTTTGAAGAGGAGAAAATCGAGCAATCAACAAAGGAAAGAGAAAGATTCTCGATTCAGCATAGATTTTGTCAGTAAAACTTTCATCAAACGATTGCTTTCGCCTAACCTCTAATCAAATTTGACCCATACTGATCCATTGAAATATTTTCTGTTTAGATTGGTATAACCTTTTTTATATTCGTATAAAGTTCGATCAATCAATCGATATGTCAATTAGTATGTGTCTGGTAGCTGTTTACTTACGACACGAAAAGCAATTATAGAGACTTTAAAATTTTAATTCTTAATTTGCATCCTGAGTTTGTTCAAATTTGGATAACATTGAAACAAAAGAAATACTTACATAGCAAACTTCAGCGAATGCTTAGTCAAAGCTTCAAAGATTTTTATAGCCGCGAAAGAGAAAGGTGTTGTTGACATTTAATTGCTGTTGTAACTGATTTAAGATTTGTCGGTGGTGGCAAATGATTTCCGTCAACAATAAAATCGTATACACCTACTTTTACATAAAGTGGTTGTAAATCTAAAGTTAAATTAATCTTTATGGCATAGAAAACAACAAAAACCAAATTAGAAGAGTAATGAAATATAGACAACAATTAAGGCGAAACAAAATTAGATTGGTTTGCGGAAAACGATTATAAAGATTTATCGAAGCGCGATTGGAGGAGAAGGGAAATATAATAAAAAAGAGGAAAGGAGTATTAAGGAATAGATTTCGGATCGAATAGAATAGTTTTTTGGTTGATTCTTTCATGATTACACCTAATGGTTCTTTGGTGAACTGTCCAGTCCAATTACGTATAAAACAGAGAATAAGATCTAAACTTTTAAAACTTCGATACGAGTTCATAGTTTTTATGACCTACTCTCACATTTTGTTATTCCATGTTATTTATAACTACTACAAACTATCTATCACTATTCCATTTTCTTTTTTTTTTCAAATAAAAGCTTAATAAAAATTATTGATTAAGTATTTTACTCACCCTTCAATGAACTATTACTATTCATACACATCGGACACTGATCGTTACGAAACATACACGAATAGCAACGCTCATGACCACAGGTATCGATCAATTTCCGGCGTTTGCCCTTGTCGAAAGATATGCGACAACTGGGGCATATCGTGCCGCTGCTGTCGTGCTCCAATAAGCGACGAATGGATTGGAGATCTGAAAGTAGACGAAGAAAGCAGACAATTAAAACATGTTTTTTTTTAATAAACAATCTTAAATTTGATTGATTTAATATTTGTAGTTTCTTTTTAATTCTAATGAGGAAAGCAAAGTGTGTATGAAAAAAGTGAAGAAATGAGAAAAGTGTAGGAAAAGAGTAAATAATATGCCGTTTAAGAGGCACACCTAGTATGAGATTAAAAAAATATATTTTTTTTCCATATTTCGATAGGTTATATATATAAAATATCAGACTAAAATTTTAGATCGATATCTCAAATAGTTTTAGAGTTACAGCCTTCTAAAATTTCACTACTCAGTTCAATCAGTTTAATTAGTTTATCTTTAAATCCACTTTGCTTTCGTGATTACTTGAACTTTTTTGTATATTTGTAAGCCAAAATCGACCAAAAATTTGTGTAAAATTCAACTTGTTTTTTAAAAACGCCGCAATTTTATCAAATATAATTTTTTTTTGCGTTCGAGATCGGATGCGATGATTTCAATAAAATTGGTAAAATCAAATTTAATTTGGGTAATATTAAACACATAGTTTTTGATTTATTTCTCAATTGATCTACAAATCTGTGCATTTTAAACTATAAATATATGGTTTTTCTAGACTAGCTAAATACATTGAATTTTAACGGAGGAATGTCAGTTAGATTCAACGCAAGGCCGAAGAGGGTTACCATGTATAATTGAAAATAATACGTTGATTTACTTTACGATTCCTGCAATACTTTTGGGTCTATTCGAGATCGTGTTGAGGGGCATACTGAATAAGCTGCGAATTTTAAATCATATTTAAACAAAATTTTTCTTCCTCTTATTAATATTTGCACCACTGTGCCACTTCCTTAGCAAATTGTGTGACTTTTCACGAGCGGAAATGGAGTTATTCAAATAGTACTACTTTTTTCTGCCCAAAAGTCACGCATTTAAATGCAAATTCAAACTTCCTAAGAAGTTGAAAAAGTCACAAATACCCACAAATACTGAGGCTATGAGCAAAATAAAAAAAAAACTTTCGCCGCGTAGGTTTGGCAGCAGTAAAAGAGCAAATTAGTATAGACAAAAAATATAAAAAAAATTAAAATAAAAATATTGGTAAATATGTGAATTTTAAGTGGGTTGCCTAATACCCCAATGCAGTCGAGTACTGAGCAAGAAATGCAATTCAGCGTGCATAAACAAAAACTAGCAAAAATATAAAAAAATTAAATACCGGCAACTTTTGCAGCCAGACTTTTTGACTTCGCGCAATTTTTTGTGCAATTTTGATGTTTATTGCTGTTGTTATGCTGTTTTGTGGGTATTTTGATTTGTTTTGGGTTTTTTTTTTTTTTTGTCCACATAGACAACCGGTTGGCGAAGCGCATGTTCTGCGGCCCACACAATTCTTCCAAGGAATAACAAGAAGCAGTACAAAATATTTATATAAGCGTGATGGTATATATGTGCATATGTGTGTTTGTATGTATATGAAACCAACTATCGAAGGAGTCGAGTATACCCACAACCTGGTAACCCCAAACAGTTTTTTGCTTTGATTTTGCAAATTTGAATGCGCGTAGCGAAGGAAATATAATTTGGAAGTGCATATACGCATATATATGTTACAAAACTTATTGCATTTGTGGACTTAAATATATACATAAATATTTTTATTTTTTGAATTCTTCTCAAGTGGCTTTGCATGAATGAAACCCACACTCGCACGACTTCCAGCAAACGCAGCGCAGCAATAAAGTTCATTCAGAAACTCACCTTACGAAAACCACTATGGTTGCTGCGTTACAGCGCATGCGTGCCATATGCCATGTGCAGCGTTGCAACCGGACGCGGACCAAAACGCAGCGCAGCCAGCAAACAACCCACTCGAAAATATGGTATATTTTGTAAAAAAAACGTAGTTTTTACATTTTTTTTATTTTTTTTTTGCGCTTGTAATTTTTGAAGCCTTTTTTGCGCGCGTTAAAATATCAGCGCGTGTGCGCAACGTTTGCATCCGCTGGTTGGTGCACCGTCGCAGACACGCCACCACAGGGCAGAACATTGCCAAGTCGATTTGCTGATTGCCATGTTTTTTAAGAGCCTTCAAAGACTGCGAGGCAATTGCTATTTCATTGTATGTACTTCGCGTGCTCTTGTTGCTATTGTTGTTGGTGGCACAAGTGCAATTGCGTGGGTAGATAACAGCTTGGCAAATAGCAGGCAGCTGTGTCTAAGGCTTTGTCTGTGACTGCGTCTGCGTCTGCGAGTGTCGCTTATGGTCTGTAAATGTCATTTATGCGGGCTTTATTGCGAATGCGCTGAAATAAGCTGGAAGGTTAAGGTTTCCCACCCACTGTTAGTGCCGGGTATTTATGCAAATGGCGGTGTGTTATGCAACGTTTAGGGAGCGATTTTGGCTTTTTGAAAGAATTGCGCATAAAAACTTCAACATCTGTCAGTTTTGATTCAAAGTTTTATTTGACAATACAATTTTAAGATTTAAGATTTTTTGTGAATGAAACCACAACTACTCAAAATTCTCATATTTCGCATGTTGAATGTAAAATATAATAGTTCTTTTAACAGCTAGCTACACCACTCACTTAAGATGAATATGGTGCGAAGGCCTTTTAAGCCCTCCTTCCGGTCTAAATAAACAAAAACAGAATCCAGTTATTATTAAAAAATGTAACACACGAAGCTTCATCGATTCAACGTATTATTTAAGCGATGCAGAACTTCAAAAAAAAAAATTGGATTCTTTACTCAGCTTTACTAAGATTTAAGAGCATTCAAAACCTGCTCATAGCTTTTTACAATCATTTGTCCTCAGAAGATATACATTTCTAACTAAATCATTATTTCAAATACCAAAACGCCCTGTCGGCATCAAAAGTTGCTATATAACTGAGTAGCTTTCTTAATTGTTTGAACTTTTTATGAAAACATAGACTTTCAACAAGATGAGTCAATATACCAGACAACATGAAAGAGGCGCCCGCCAATAACTGAGCCTTTTTTAGCATAACATTATACCTATTGGACTTTTTCACTGTTATAATAGAAAGACTTTGTAAAGGAAAAGTATTTTGAAAAAGAAACTCAAGTAAATCTAAAAGATGGGATATTTTCTAGTGAAAGCTTTATATAGACGTGAGACAAAAGCTTTGGTGAAAATGAAAGCTCCAGTTAATAAGTTCGATTTGAAAATCAGTTTTTGATGGTAAATAGACGTATTGATGTTTTAAGCTTTTCGATAGGACTTAACCAAAAAACGCTTTGTAGAGGAAGCACAAGGACGTTGAATGCATGGATTTTTAACTAATTGAGCTTATCTCTTTGATCTCATTGTATAGATCGCTCATTTGCATTCGCGTATTGTTGAGTGATAATAAATTCCTAGACACAAATGTCATGGCCTTCCTCACAATCTTTCTCTCTTCTAGACTCTTTTAATGCCATAAAAAATACTTTCCCACCAAGAAACAATGGAAAATTCAAATTCAAATAATTTGCACGAAATGCGGAAGTGAATTTTGTGCGAACGGTCATCCGAACGGCGCTTGGCTGCACCAAGATGCGTGCCACACTTCGGTCACAGCGTTGGCGTCTGTGTAGAATATCTAAAAACCGCAACGGACGAGCGAAGTTGATGAGATTTCTTTGTGCGAAGAATAATAAGCCGATATACATATGTCTGCGCGTATAATTTTTATTCTTACACAACACATATGTTGCTGAAACGCCGGCCACCAAGCGCTCAAAGCTCCCGCCTGCATGCCATGGGCAATTTAAAGCCTGTTGACCGTTGCGAAAATAATGTACAGAATGCAAAACAGAAATTTCTCAATTTCCCGTTAATGATTACTTTCACTGTGTTTGTTGCTGTTGTTGCATGGAGCTCAACTGCTCAATTCAATTATGACAAAATGCCAGGCATGCAACAAAAGCCACATTGTGTTGGCGTACAAGCGTGTTGCAATGAGTTCTTAAGCCGCTTAGCGTAATTTTCAGCTAAATTTGCACAGAACAAATGCTGGAAGAAAACAACAATAACAAATGTGTGTGCTTGTGTTGCAAGTCCTGCGCTTTAATGATTTCTGTTTGCGAGAAACCGCAATGAAAATTAACAACGACAAACGTCAACCGCTGTGCCGACGGCGCACGCCCACACGCCGCTCCGTGCGGCAGCAACAAAACGTGCCAGGCGACCGCTGCCACATACACACATGCGCGCACAAAATACTGGTGTTGCGGTTGCATGCAACGTGGGTCGTTGGACGACGCGTAGGCTCAGAGCGCGCCGCCAATGCACGCTTATGCAAACGAAGGCGTAGAAAGAATAGAAAAAAGCAACAAACACAGTGAGTGCGCGCCATGCTACTTGTACAACAACAGCAGACAAACGAAGCGGAAAATTCAATTCAATCAAAAACAAAGGCAAACTGCAATGTAAAAGCAAAAAGCAAAAAACAGAAAACAGAAAACAAAACAACAACAAAGTGAGTGTGAGTGTGCGGCCAGTGCAAAAATAAAATAGTTGCACGAAGTAAATAAATCTGCGAATCAAATTGGTGACGCGCTTGAGTGGCTGAATTAGATTTGCAATTGCGGCAGTGGCATAAAAATGCATATTGCATGCATAATTGTAACACCATGGGTAGACAGCGCGGCAGACTGCAGCGCGTTACGTCTGCGTTTGTGGAATTGGGCGGACAGGATTGACGCGCGCGGGCCGTTCGACTGCAGACCGACCAGCAGGCGTATAGCGGTTGTTGTTGTTCGAGTTATATACGTAGACACATACAGTAGTTCAGGCGCATAACTTCGCACTACAATTGACAACCGCGTACAAGCGTTTAAGCATCACAGCACATTGTGGCACAGTGGGTGGTGCATAGACGGTGGGAACTTGAAATTTATAGTGTTCCAGTTTACGAATTTTGAACTCAATAGTATGGTTGGTGGATTTCTAGAAACACCTGGATTACGCAAGAGTC